GAATAAGGTGTTTTAAATGTTTTTGGGGCTAACTAAAATTATTGTTGGCAGACGTGGAAGTGATATAAAAAACGTAGAGATGAAAGCATAAAAAATAAGAGATCAATTTTATACTGGTTTGGGAATGTTCATTCTAGTACTTTAAGGCTTCTTAAGAATTTTTGAATCCACTAATCTCGATTTCTTGAACTTTGTTAAAGTTTCACACTAGTTTAAAAAATAGTGAAATTTGCATTAAATAAGACTAAAACATAATGACTTTCTTAATGTGAGATTTAAACTTTTTTATTCCCTAAATAGGACTTAATAATGATCTAGTGAAAGGAATAATGTCCAAAAATGATGGACATTTAGTTGAATAATGACTATTTGATAATGACCAAAGGTCCTACATTAGGAAATAAAAACATATAGTCTATATTGGAAAAACTATTATATTTTAGTCCTATTTAAATAAATATCTCATTTTCTATATTTCTCCACAAGGATTTCAAAGTTATCTTTGAACCTTGTGGATTCATATGGCTATCTTCAATTGATTATCAGAGGAATTTTTAGCTATCCTCAATCGTTACAATATGACGATTTGTGTATGAAGAACACAAAAGATAAGTGATCAATCCTTGGTAGGTGAGAAATAGAGATTATATTCTCTAAAACAATACAAGATCAATCTATGAATATGAGAGTGTGCCTATGATCACAAACTCAGTATTAGTATAAAATTAGCTTAAAAGAATGAGAAATTTACCTAAATAGGACTAAAACATAATGACTTTCCCAATATAGGACTATATGTTTTTATTTCCCAATGTAGGACCTTTGGTCATTATGAAGTAGTCATTATTCAAGTAAATATCCATCATTACGTGACATTATTCCTTCCACTAGGTCATTATTAAGTCTTATTTAGGGAATAAAAAAGTTTAAGTCTTACATTAGGAAAGTCATTATGTTTTAGTCCTATTTAGTGCAAATTTCACTAAAAGAATCTATAAAAGGTCACAAAAGGTAAAAAAAGATTGTTAAATAAAATCAAGAACACATTTAGAAATGAAAATGGGTGATTTGGAGCTTGAATGGATGATTAAAATGAAGGATTGAGACCATAAATGTTGAATTTCAAAAGTTAACGTTGATGACCATTGGAAGTTGATTTGAACTAATTTCGATTACTAAAATGGAAATGAGTAAGTTTGAAAGTTTTGATTTTTTAATTTTGGTCAAATCTTCTTTTATTTTATTCAAAATCTTTTTGATGTTTAAGAATGATTATTAGAAGATTTTAAACGTATTTTATTTTATACATTTGATGTTTAAGAATGTTTAAGAATGATTATTTATATGGAGTAATATTTAAACCAAAACAAATTAATTTTATTTGTTTAAGGTTGAATCATACTCCGTAATATGTACCAATAAAAAATAGGAAAAATTACCCAAAATAATCCCAACTTTACCCTGTCTTTCAAAAATAATCCCACCTTTCACTGTGATGCATAATAATCCCAACTTTATTGAAATTTGCCAATTTTGGGTCGCCGTTAAATTTCTAACGGAAAGTTAACAGAAATGCTCGTTTTAGACAACAAAATGAAAGTTGGGATTATTTTTGATGAATTTTTGTTTTTTAATTTTTTTTTGAAATTTTTTATTTAAATTTTTTGAATTACTTTTAACCTCCATTTCTTTTTCTTTTTTAAAGATTATTCTTACCTTAGAAAAAAATAGATAAAAAAATTAATGAAAATGCGAAAAATAACTAAAACAATACAAACTTAATCAAATAAATAATGTAATCAATAGAAATTAAACAGAAACTGGTAAGAAACATAATAAATATATACGGAGTGGTGGGTTTTAACATTTTACACACTATACGAGGTCTTAATATACTACTTATTTTTTAAAAGAACAAGCCGTCCGGTAAAATTGGAATTATTGTAGATAATTTTTTCTAAAAAATAAGTAGTGATATGTTAATACTTTGTATAATACGTAAAATATTAAAACTCACCCGTATATTTTTATTTTACTTTTACCAATTTCAAGTTAGTTTCCATTGATTACCTTATTTATTTTATTATTTTTGTATCATTTTAGTTACATTTCTCATTTTTT